AAAAAAAAAAAAAAGAAAGAAAGATACCAAAAGCAAGGTCCATAAGTGAAAAAATTGGGAAAACTAGACTTTATCAAGATTTAAAAATTCTTCTTTTCAAAATCACTATTAAGAGAATGAAAAGACAAACCACAAACTATGAGAAAATATGTGTAAAACACTTATATGAAAAGGGATGTGTATCCAGAATATATAAAGAACTCTTAAAATTCAATAATAAAATTAAAAGCCCAATAAAAATAAATGGGAAAAAAAACTAACCAGAAATCATGAAAGAAGGGATTCAGATGACAAATAAGCACATGAAAGGATACAACATTAGGGATACATAAATTAAAACCTTATACCATGATATCTCAACTAGAATATCTAAAATTTAAAAAAAAAATACCAATTTATGCCTGCCATTGTAGCACTTTGGGAGGCCAGGGCAGGAGGATCACTTGAGCCCAGGAGTTCAAGACAACAGCAAGACCCCTTCTCTACAAAAAATAGAAAAATTAGCAAGGTGTAGTACCATGTACCTGTAGTCCCAGCTACTCAGGAGGCTGAGGCAGGAGGCTTGAGCCCAGGGGTACCAGGCTGTTATAATGACACCACTGCACTCTACCCTGGTCAACAGAGTAAGACCTTCTCTCAAAGGAAAAAAAAAAAAAAACCAAGTGTTGATAAAGATATGGAGCCACTGGAAATCTCATATATAGCTAGTTGGATTGTAAAATAAATGACCCTTTTGGCAAATAGTTTGGCAGTTTCTTATTAACATTCACCTTACAAATCAATTCACACAATTTTATAATGGCTTTATTCATAATTGCTAAAAACTAGAAAGACCTCAAACAATGTCCTTTACCTGATAACTGGATAAACCAACTGTATGTATAAAAAGGAATTAATTTCTGATTTATGCATCATTGTGGATGAATCTCTTGTATATTATGCTAAGTGAAAGAACCCAGATTCAAATGTCCACATACTGTCTGATTCAATTTATATAATGTTCTGGAAAATGTAAAGCTATAGGGACAGACCAGCTATATGGGAGGCTGAGGCAAGAGAATCACTTAAGCCCAAGAGTTTGAGGTTGCTGTGAGCTATGACGCCATGGCACCCTATCATGGCACCCTGTACAGACCAGCTATATGGGAGGCTGAGGCAAGAGAATCACTTAAGCCCAAGAGTTTGAGGTTGCTGTGAGCTATGACACCATGGCACCCTGTACAGACCACCTATATGGGAGGCTGAGGCAAGAGAATCACTTAAGCCCAAGAGTTTGAGGTTGCTGTGAGTTATGATGCCATGGCACCCTATCAAGGTGACATAGTGAGACTCTGTCTCAAAAAAAAAAAAAAAAACAACTATAGGAACAGAAAAGAGACCAATCTAGACTCCTTTTAGATTGACTTAAAAGGGGCCCAAGGAAGTTTTCTTGGGAGTGATAGATCTCTGTCTTCATTGTGACAGTGGTTACAAGGCATTTGTCAAAACCCAGAATTGTACACTAAAATGGTGAATTTTCCTGTATGTAAGTCATACCTCAAAAAGGCTGGATTTTAAAAATCAAAATAAAGCCAGATGTGGTGGCTTACACCTATAATCCTAGCACTCTGGATTGCTTGAGTGGCAATCCAAGGTAAGTGGATTGCTGGAGCCCAGGAGTTTGAGACCAGTCTGAGTAAAAGTGAGACTTCATCTGCCTAAGAGAAAAAAACTAGCTGGGTGCTATGGTGGGCACCTGTAGTCCCAGCTACTGGGGACACTGAGGCAAGAGGCACTTTTGAGCCCAAGAGTTTGAGGTCACTATGAGCTACAATGATGCCACAGCACTCCACTCAGGACAACAAAGTGAGACTCTGTCTCAAAATAAATAAATAAATAAATAAAATTACTTTTAAATGAAAAAAATTCCATTTTAATAAAGCAGTACTCTACTGACTCTGTGAAAATAAATCAGTTTTGTTTCTTTATTCTGCAGTTTGCAGGAGGTATTTATTCCCGGCTTGAAGCACAAATCAAGGCCTCTGTGCCAGTCAGTGTGCGGCAAAGCAGCTCAGAGAAAAACACAAGGTAAACCAGCATAAAATAAATCAGAATGCCACTAGCTGTGAATTTTTTTTTTTAAGGTAAATCATATGAACACTACCAGTGTATAATTTGAGTTTAGATTATCAAGGCATTAATCAGAACCAGTTAGGATTTTAAAAGGGCTGGCTGGGTATAGTGGCTCACACCTATAATCCCAGCACTTTGAGAGGTGGAGGCTAGAGGATCACTTAAATCCAGTAGTTCAAGACCAGCCTGGACAACACAGTGAGACCTAGTGTCTACAAAAAACAACAAACTTAAAAATCTAATGAAAGTATAGGTAATTTTTTTTAAGTTGTCTGTTTAACCAGCTTCATTCTGACCTACTTCCTGATAAAAATGTATAATGCTACTGTTAGTGGAGTTTTTGTACTATTTATAGATTATATATTGTTATTTTATATAAATCATTGAAGTCTATCATTCCTTGTTTTATTATTTTATTTCTCTTAATAAAATCTAGCTGGTGAGCCTCGTGCCATTTTATCTCACAAATTTTCTGTTAGAAGTTACTAATATTTGAACATTAATATTATAGAACCTTAAGCTTTATATGTAATTCTGAAATCCAGAAGGCTCAGAAAGCCAAAAGGTTTTTTAAAATACATTTATGTCAATTCATACTTGAACTGAACTGCTCTGATATTCATATTTTTATCTATCTCATTTGCTTCACTGAAGCAACATTAACATATTTGATTATAGAGCAGTGCCCCAGATTTATATAAGTATATTATCTCTCAAAAATTTTTTTAAAAATCAAATTCCAGGTGGGCGGTGCCTGTGGCTCAAAGGAGTAGGGCACTGGCCCCATGTGCTGGAGGTGGAGGGTTCAAGCCCAGTTTTGCCAAAAACTGCAAAAAAAAAAAAAAAAAAAGAAAAAAATTAAATTCCAGGCTCGGTGCCTGTAGCTCAGTGAGTAGGGCGTCCAGGTTCAAACCTGGCCCGGGCCTGTCAAACAACAGTGACAACTCCAACCAAAAAATAGCTGGGCATTGTTGCGGTGCCTGTGGTCCCAGCTACTCAAGAGGCTGAGGCAAGAGAATTGCTAAACCCCAAAAGTTTGAGGTTGCTGTAAGCTGTGGTACCACTGCACTCTACCGAAGGCAACATAGTAAGGGACTCTGTCTCAAAAAAAAAAAAAAATTCCACAATACATTCTACTCTAGAAGTTTTATTTATTTATTTATTTATTTTTAGAGACAGAGTATCACTTTGTCGCCCTTGGCAGAGTGGCATGATGTCACAACTCACAGCAACCTACAGCTCTTAGGCTTAGGCGTTCTCTTGCCTTAGCCTCTTCAGTAGCTAAGCCCACAGGTGCCCGCCACAATGCCCGGCTATTTTGTTGTTGTTGTTGTTGCAGTTTGGCCGGGGTCCGGGTTTGAACCCACCACCCTCAGTATATGGGGCCAGCGCCCTACTCACTGAGCTACAGGCACCACCCTATTCCAGGAGTTTTAGAAAATGGATTTTGGAGCTATATGATTTATTAAGCTTTGATATTGCCAAGCAAACACAGTCTAAAGCAGCAGCAACTTTCTGATGTTTTAGAAGCAACTCTGACCCTTTTTTCTGTTTAAACATTTTAGGTCTAAAAGTCGGTTTGGTCAAGGGCGTCCTGCATAAAGCATCTTAATATAAAACTAAAACACAGAAGGCACACTCCTGGACATCTGAAATTGCTCTCTACTTGAAGATCTTCAGCGCGATGACTTTTAAAGTTTTAACTTTTTAAGTTATTGGTTACTCTTGTAAGCCACATAACTCATAATGCTAAGAGAAATATATAGTTAGATTTTATGAAAATCTAATTGTAAATATGAAACTTAAATCTAATTTTCTTTTAGTATGATTCTCAGATATATAAAAAACATTTATTCACAGATTTGCATTGTTAAGACTCCCAATATTTGTTTTCCTTTATTTATTTGAAAAAGAAGAGGCCTAAACTGTCAAGTAACTACATTTTTTTTAAGACCTTAAGAAATTAGAGGAACACAAATGGTAGTATTACCATGCATGTGCACCGATTGTAGGATGTTGTGAGGTATAAATCTCAGGATAGGATTGAGAACTGCAATTTGTATGATGAAATTCCCAATGATGCTAATTTTAAGTTTGCATGAATACTAAGGAATGACAGATCTCAAGATTTCATTAAATTTCAAGGTAAGGTATTTCGATACTATATTGGCCAGAAAGGTTAATATTTTTCAGCATTATTCCATGGAAAGTACAATGTTAATCCAGTTTTCCTTTTCTTTAAAACTTTGTAATGCTTATCTTTTGGTCATCTGAGCTGGAATTACTGATTATTACCTCTTTCTTCTGTGAAACTAGTGCCATTCTGAATTTTTTAAAATAAATAGTTTTAGGATAGTAAATCATTTCAGTTGTGTAAGACACCTACTGTACAGTTCTCAGGGCTCTACAACCTAACCATATTTCTGTAGCCATTCAAATAGCCCCTTTCAACAGTTACAATTGCTAGTTACTTTAGAGATGTTTAAGAAATTTCCAAATAGATTAGATGGGTAAAAAATTACATATATTCAAGAAAAATCAAAATAAAATTCTATTTTATAGATCATGTTTGAATTTTTCTAACCAGGCAGAAAGAGCGCTCAGGGAAAATTTGTTCTAAACCATAAGCATATAATAATTTATGTGTTTGGAAATTACTTATATGTAGGTCTCTGAAAAACTTTGATGCACTGTTTCTATTTTTTAGTCTTCATTTGCCTATAATTGAAATTTCTTCAAATTATTCAGAGAATAGACTTTGATAATTTGTGACAGAGCAGCAATTTCTACTGAAATGTTTAAGTGTTAACATTCCGTTTACATATGGAAATTATTTTCAGTGAGTGTTTTAGTTAATGAAGCTAGATGTTATTCCATGTTAATGAATAGCTTTGCCAAGGTTTTTGAGCTTCTGTTTAGAAATTTTGTTCTACTTTATGGTTGTTTCAATTGTTTGATGTTGTGGAAATATATCATTTTTATTTTCAAAAGAAAATGTTTTATAGTACATTATACGTAAGCCCTGTTAAATACCAGGGCCTTGTTAGAGTTCACTGTATTCTCTGATAAAAGGATTTGGGTTTGTACAGGTAAACAGTGCTGTGATGGTCACGAGAAGAGGAAAATACACCCTTCTGATTTTTAACTTGGTAAAAAGGCAAATTGTTTCTCAAATGGGCGGACTGTACCACTGAATTGATTTTAACTAACTAGAATTTATGAGAATTTGATTGTCTTCAGAACATGTTATTTCAGTAACATCAGTCTATAATACATAGCACAGGTACCACAGACATTTTACTCAAACTTTTAACAGCATTTCTTTTGCAAGGTACTTTGAAGTTTTACCTTATGTTGATTCTGAATTCACATTTCTTTAATCAAAATAAACATTAACGACAAAAGTTATTTGCAAAGTTCCTCTCTCTGAATCATTCCATCTTCTCAAAAAGAGTGTGGATTGGCTCTAGATGTTAACAGGTTTTCAGGGAAAATTAGCTCTGCTACAAGGTAAATTTTTTTAAGTTTTAAGATTGTTTTAAATGAAGATATGCTGATAAAAGATTTTAGCAAGACAATGAAATGATAAAAAACTGCAGAAGATATGATGAGAAGATAAGGTAATAGCACTGATTTTACACAATTGCATTATTTGGGGTTCCCCCCCTCTTCCTCCCTTCTTCATAATACCTTTCCAGGTATTTGAGATAAGCTAACAGCTTTGGAAGCTGAAGCTGAAACCATCAAGGTCATCTGCTAAAGGCACATTATAATATAGAAACAAAGAAAAATGCCTTTATCTTTAATACCTGGGACTAATTCTTTAGCCAACCTTTAGCTGTTCTTGAGCAGCTATTTCATACTTCCCAGGAAAAAGGCATTGGGTTGGTTACCTAGCCAATCCAATTCTAATAAACTAACTCTCCCACTCTTGTTTAAAGCTGATTTATTGGGAAAGATAGTAAAAAGATAAGATTATTCCCACCCTCATATGATGGTTGAGGGATTAAATGAATTAATGGAACTAAGAATGTACTTTTCTGGCTTGGAATAAGCCCTTCATGAATATTAACTATTATTGTTGCTTTATGTTAATATTTGGAAGGTAGCCTAAATTCTTTAGAGTTTGGTGTCCCTCTTCCTGTAACTTGAGTTGCTAACACTGATAAATATGTGAATGTGTGTTTAGAGTAAGGAAGAAGGTATCTAATATATTAGTGGTTGCTATGACATCATTTGAAACTTTTAAAAATCATATTGTTTTGCCTTATTTAGGGAAAGAGCATTTGTAGAAAGAGCTAGGTAGAGAATACTGTTTCCTGATATGTGATAGTGACCTATGCTGTTTTTTGTGGAGGCTTACTGAAGGACAGGACCATAGTATGGTGAATAAAGACCATAGCATAGTCATAGCAGCTCTCCTAAGAGAGCTAGAAAATATAGTTTAGCTGTACAACAAGACCAGTTCTTATCAAACTAGAGGTGGGGGTGGCCCTAATAGTTGCTATTTGTTGAAAGCTTTGTAAGTATTGAATGGGCATCACTGCTGAGGATAGTGCTATTTCCTTATTTTCTTTACGATCACACCCCCCCCCGCCCCCACCAATCAGGTATTATCCTTATCTTACAGGTAAAGAAAAAAAATTCGGAGAGGTGAAGTATACCACACACTGGGGTCGGAATCTTTCATCATTTTCAAGCAATTTTCCCTTAGATTGCCTAAAATATTCTCTCTGAGTGCCTCCTGCCTCAATGGCAGCTCCTTCAGACTCACTTCCTATAGTCCTAGACTTGTTTACCCAGCTGCCTACTTAACCATTTGTACTTGAAATATCAGTCAATATCTCCAACTTAACATAATTAAAACAGATCTTGTGATGTATCTCTATTCCCCCTCTAAGCTCACTGCTTATTCAAACCCTTCAGCAAATGGCACTACTACTCACCTAAGTGCTCAAGGCAAATATCTAGAAACTATCCCTTCTTCTTCTTTTTTTTTTTTTTGAGACAGGAGCCTCAAGCTGTCCCCCTGGGTAGAGTGCCATGGCATTTTAGCTCATAGCAACCTCCAACTCCTGGGCTCAAGCGAGTCTCCTGCCTCAGTCTCCCAAGTAGGTGGGACCACGGGCGCCCGCCACAGTGCCCGGCTATTTTTTGGTTGCAGCCATCATTGTTGTTTGGCGGGCCCGGGCTGGATTCGAACCCTCCACCTGGGGTGTACGTGGCTGGCGCCTTAGCCACTTGAGCCACAGGCGCTGAGCCTTATTCTTCTTTCCTTCACTTTCTACACTCAATTTATCAGCAAGCCCCATACATACCCCATCTCCATTCACTTCTCTCCATCTCCACTATCACCACCTCATTAACATCTTTTATGAGTGCTTACAAATGCCTCCCACATAATTCTCCAGTTTCCACTCTGACCTGTTATGCACAAAGAAATTATAGTGATTGAAAAATGTGAGTCAGATCACATTACTCTTCTGCTTAACACTGTAATAGCATCCCATCAAACCTAGAGCAAAATTCAAACTCCATTAAGTTGGGGTGGCAAGTCCTACACGACCTAGCTCCTGATGGCCTCTTAAACTTTTTCCCTCTTGTTTACTACATTCCAGTCACAGACTGCCTGTTCGTCCAGTAAGTGAGCTTATTCCCACCATTCAGTTCCTTTTCATAAGCTATTCCCACCGTCTACAGGAATCTTATAATTCAAAGTTTAGATGTCACCACCTAACAGGAGCCCTTTCCTGTGTGCCCTATATAAAATATCGCCCAAGTCACTCTCATCACATCCTCATCTTTTATTTCTGTGCACAGCTGACATTATTACTCGGGTATTATTCTTTTGTTGGTTTGCAATGCGTCTTCCATGCTGGAAAGTAAGCTCAGTACGAGTAAAGACCTGGTCTTCTTCACTACTGCTGTGTCTCCAGTGCCTAGAACAATGATTAGAGCAGCTGGCACCAAGAAACTTTCCTATGGGTGTTCACACAGTCGGTTTGTGATCTGCACTGTCCCTAGCTTATCATTTTCATTTGCACCTCTTAGAACCTCAATAGATGGCCCGGGGAAGTGGCTCAGGCCTATAATCTTAGCACTCTGGGAGGCAGAGGCAGGTGGATGGCCTGAGCTTATGAGTTGAAACCAGCCTAAGCAACAGCGAGACCTTAAAAATAGGGCAGCGGCTCAGGCCTGTAATCCTAACACTCTGGGAGGCCAAGGCGGGTGGATTGCTAAACTTAGGCTCGAGACCAGCCTGAGCAAGAGCAAGCCCCCCGCTCCCCCCTAAAAATAGCCGGGCATTGTGTTGGGCACCTGCAGTCCCAGCTTCTTGGGAGGCTGAGGCAAGAGAATCGCTTGAGCCGAAGAGTTTGAGGTTGCTGTGAGCTGTGAGGTCATGGCACTCTACCAAGGGTGACAACATGAGAGGCTGCCTCAAAAAAAAATTTTTTTTTAAATCTCACAAAATGCAGTAACGTGACTGCTGTAGCATTCTTGTCGGAATCAGCGATATCTTTCTAGAAGGTCTAATTCTCCACTCAGAGCATCTTTTTCTTCACGAATGACAGGTGTTTTTTCTCAGGATGTTTTGTCCAGTTGTCTTTCTCTGTAGCGCAGCCTAAGGAATGTTTTAAAATAAGTAGCTTATTAAACTTGACACGCTTGGAAGCCCTTTTAAATCAATTTCCTCTTCAATATAAACATTAAAATCCGTTTTAGCCACGGTTTGGAGAGGGCCGGGTGACGAACACAGGCTGACGTAAAGAGGTATTTTGTGTGAGGGCCACAGGCAGACGTCTTACCGCCATAGGACTGCATTTCCTCCTAACATCAGATAACGGCGTTCTTGT